CTCACTCACACACACTCACACACTCTCTCCCTCTCTCACACACTCTCTCTCTCACACACACACACACACACACACTCTCTCTCTCTCTCTCTCTCTCTCTCTCTCTCTCTCTCTCTCACACACACTACACAGGGTTACCCAACCAGTGCTTCGTAACATTGTGACAGAAATGCCAAAGATGTAGTTTTTGAGTAAGGTTACCCTCACACCGGTTCACAATCATGTGTTAGTGTGAAGTTTGGATACATGTGAGACTGAATTTGGTCACACTTTATTTTAAGGTCTAATTCTCACTCTTAACTAGCTGCTAACTATGGCTTGTGCCTCAAACTGCTTATTAACAGTTAGTAAGGTAGTTGTTAAGTTTAGGTATTAGCTAGATTAGGGATGCAGAATATGTGCTTTATAAGTAGTAAACAACCAATATGTAAATAGGCATGCTGATAAGCAACTAGTTAATAGTGAAAATTGGTCCCCTATACTAAAGTATTAAATGTGCGATTGCAAAAACCTTCTGCTGAAATGATGCTGAACGTTAGTTTTGCATGTAGTTACCTTATGTTACGCATTATTTTTAGGTACGTGTAAGTACACATACTGTTAAATTAAGTGTAACCAATAGTTTTATGTAACATTTAATCACTACAAAACTACCAACATGTGATACTGAAATGCATTTTTATTGAAAGTTTCACACACGTCAGAAGTCTGAGAATCCTGGTCCTGTAGAGGTTTGGAGCTGCTGTGAGCGGTTCTGCAGTGTTGGTATTCAGCTCAAGTCAGTTTAATGTTGATTCGGTTCAGTTTATAACCTGTGAAGCAGCTCTACAGAAGACGGTTTTATCCTCCAGCCTAACTCGGTCCATGCAGTCATACTTCAGACCCCAGCTAACGTACTACTGGAACGCTCCAAACTACATCTACTGATTTGTCACCACAGTAAGACTTGAAAATAGTTTGTATATCCAACATCCGTTTAGATTTTCTGGCATTCTAGTGTTTTCATAAAGTAAGGGAAGTTTTTTTTTTAGGATTCCTGTGATGGTGGAAAACTTCAGGATGAAGACTGACTTTGCTGTTGTCTGGTTGTATTAGTATTGTTTCCCCACATACATCTTATGGCACTGATAAGAATAACGGTGTAATTTTAAAAGAGTTAGTGGCCCATCCATGCATGCTCTGCGCTGCGTGTGCTGTGTTTGCAGGCTGCAGTGGGAACAGACTGCGGTCACTAATGTTTGCAGCACGTTTGGGGAAGCTCTCGCAGACACAGAAAAGTCTGGTGCTTCAGCTGGACAGGACACATTCATATTTTTTTGAAAGATACAGTTCTGTTTATTATATATTTAAATCTTTATATGGTGTTAATATCACTTGTTTACATTAACAGTTTTATAAAAATAGAAATATTGCCCAGTCAATCTGGAACATGTACAATGATAAATTATAAACTGTGTCCCTTTATTCCTTTCAAGAACAGAAAAGTGTTTTTTTGGTGCACATGTATGGTTACACAACTGAAAAATGCAATGAACAGACAAGGGGCCTCGTTTATAAAATGTTGCGCAGAAACCATCCTAAATTTGATCTTGCGATCATCTCTCAAATATGCGTACGTGTGATTCATAAAATGAATGTACGCAGCTTTCAGATGTGAAATCTATGAATTGCAAATGATTTTGAACTTGCGCGCCACTGAATGGTTTCAGCACTCTGCTTGTAAACGACTCCTAATTAATGTGACTAACATATAAAAGATCCCCAGTCATCGTCCAAATTCTTTAATTTACAACAGCTTACATTTCCAAAAACCTGCAGTACTCCGACAAGAACAAGTGTGTGTCTGCTCAGACCTTACGTGACGCACTTTTCCACATCAAAGACAGTTTTTACTAATATGAGCGCTGGCCTGGATTTACACACACACACACACACACACACACACAGATCAAATCTGAGCAACGCACACTTTATAAATGAGGCCCTCAGAGTTGAAACGATTTGTTCTTGTGTTCATGAAACTGTTGGTGAAGAATCAGAGCGATCTGGAAACATTTTAACTCGAGACCCAAAAGATGAAGATACTGTAATCTACCACACATCTGTGACCCGGCAGCACTAAAGCAGTCTTAAGCAGCACGGGTATATCTGTAGCAATAGCCAACAATACATTGTATGGCTCAAAATTATAAATGTTTTAAATGCCAAACATTTTTAGGATATTAAGCAATGTTCCATGAAGATATTTAGTTAATTACCTACCGTAAATATATCAACTTAATGTTTGATTAGTAATATGCATTGCTAAGAACTTCATTTGAACAACTTTAAAGATGATTTTCTCAATATTTCGATTTTTTTGCACCCTCAGATTCCAGATTTTCAAATAGTTGTATCTCGGCCAAATATTGTCAGATCCTAACAAACCATACATCAATGGAAAGCGTATTTATTCAGCTTTCAGATGATGCATACATCTCAATTTTAAAAAACTGACCCTTATGACTGGTTTTGTGCTCCAGGGTCACATATAATATTGAGTTTGCACCGACATGATACAAGAAACAACAACCGAGGGAATTATTTTCCAGTTCACAGTGTCTCTTACTCTGTTTTCTGTTTGTTGAGTCTCCGTCTCCCAACCTCAGTGAGCACAGAGCCCAGCACGGCTCCGACAGCACCTCCTACAGCTCCTGCGAGGAACACACCGAGCGCCGCTCCCGTCAGAGCCCCGGCGGCCAGCAGCTTCGGCACGCGTCTGGCGCAGCGGCTCGTCGTCTGCCACACGGAGCGGAGCGGAGTCGGAGTCGGAGCCGGAGCCGGAGCCTCCTTCAGAGCGTGCAGAGAGCAGTCTCTGTCTCTCGGGATCTGGTTCTGCTGGAAGAGCGAGGCGCTGTAGAAGTCTCCTCCGCTCTCCCTCACCGTCTGCTGCACCTTCTCCAGCAGCTCCTTCGCTCCGCCGCTCTGCAGGACATGATAGCGATCGCCGCATCTCTGCACCAGCTCCAGCATCTCCGGCCGCCGGGAGGTGATGTACGCCTCCACCTGCTCCACCTCCGCTGCGTACAGCAGCAGCTCCGAGCGTGTGAAGAGGACGATCGTGTGCCGGCGGACAGCGTCCGGTCCGAATGCACCCTCCAGCGCGCTCAGGGCCGGCAGCTCGGAATGAGCGGGATGGTCAACGGGGATGCAGAGCAGGAACGCATGAGGGCCCGGGGCCAACAGGGCCACACATGAGGAGATCTGAGCTTTCACCTCCTCAGGAGATCTCTCCGACTGAAACCAGTCCGGCGTATCAACCACTGACACCTGACGGAGACAGAAACAAGGCTCGATCACGTGTGTCCTCCAAACACACAGTCACTCAGCTTCAGAACATAAAGCGGTCATCGGATGCCCATTTTCCACAAGGTGGTATGATACTCCAGGGTCTTAATGAAAGTCTGTAACATACTTTGGTTAATATTTCTCAATGGTAGTGTACAACAACACCCTTTTTACCCGGTCAAAAACAGCTCTGTTCACAGCGACTCGTTTCGGTGCATGTCCCTTTAAATGCTAATGAGCCCTGCTGACCCTGCCATGCATGAATATTTAACTATTCATGCAGTTAAAACTGCTCAAAACCATTTAAAATACATTTATAAATGACTTTGTTATTTAGTCAAAACACCTTTATTAACCCTCGGTGTGAGACTGTTAAAGTGCCCCTATTATGGATTTTTGAAAATGAGCTTTCATGCAGTGTGTAACAGCTGAAAGTGAATGAAAACATCCTGCAAAGTTTTAAATCTGAAAGTGCACCGTGTATAAAGTTACTGTCTCTCAAAAGAAAGAGTGGACTCTGAATCATTGAAACCAGTCGTTTTCAAAACGAATCCCAAGCCGTTTCATCTTGACGTCAACATGAAACATTAGCTTATTGCCCGCCCACGTGTTGGTCTTTTTGTGTTGGTCTGAATGAAAATGCAAATTCATTCTTTGCCACTAGGTGCCGCTTTTGGAGCAGTAAAAATATCTGTTTCCCCGGCAACGCTGTACACAAAGCAGCACTGCGCTCACAAACGCTGCTTTACAGGCGAGATCCAATCGACCAATCACCGCAGATTAGCGTCACGCAAAGCAGGAGTTTGGAAAAATGAATCATTGATGAATCACGAATCGTTTGGGAGTCGTTAAGCAAGTAAGGTAAAAAGAAATGCATATTATAAGACCATGAAAGTGTTTTTTGACCTTGCATGCACGTCAACCTGTTGTTGGGGACTCCCAAAACCAAAATATGAACCTTTCATTAGCCCATACCGAACTTTGCATCCGATGTCCCCTGGAGGTTTGGTAGAAATAAAGCTGTTCTCATCACATATAACACATCATTCAGTAGCTATGTTTCCATCACTCTGTTTTTACGCACATTTTGAAGTATCGCATCAGAAACAATGGAAATGCCAAATTTAAAAAAACAAACCCTTAATTCACACAAAAAATAAAAAAAACATTAGGGCTTCATTAGTTAAACTGCCAATGAAAAATTCTTCTAAACGTTCATTAATCTTAGGAAATTCCAATATTTTATAACATTGTTAAAAATAAAAGTAGCAACTGTGTTATTTAATGAGCTAACATGACCTAAGAGTTGTATTTTTAACAAAGATGAATAACTTCTGTAACAAATGTAGCTGTTGCTCATTGTGAATATTAATGCATTAACTAAGATTAACTAATGAGGTCTTATTGTAAAGTGATACCTATAGGTCTTTATAATTCTTTTGCACTTTAATCTGTGTACAATTTTTAACTTTATATACATTTTTTGTGTATTTAAATGTTCAGTTATTTTTGTTTTAAGAAAAATGTTATTAAACCTGTATTATGACAACACTATTTAGCAACTAAATTTCAATACCGTGATAAAAGCATTAGCAATTAATCGCAACATGAAAATTTGATACCGGCACATCCCTAATAACAGCCTCCCAGAACGGTCTTACACAACTGCTGATAGATTAAAAATCATAACAATCCCATAGACGCACACATGTTCAGATGAGCCAAGACTATTCACACTCCAATGACCGCATTTATTGTTTCGTCGTAATTTAGGTTTTTAGACATGAAAATGATATATTCAGTGGCTTCTCCCACTTTCCTCAGTGATATTTAGTGCCAGTTCATCGGGAAGTGACAATTCTGCTCTCTTTGACACGTTGGATGGTGTTTTGTTTGCAAATGTTTTATGCGATATTCCAATTTTGCGGATAAGATAAATGTGCATCTTTGGATGGAAACACAGCTAATGACGTGTTCAGTGGAGAGCTGCGAGACACTGACCCGCGTGTCCTCCGCGAGCGCTCGGGCCTTCACACACCGCTGAGAGTCCTCCGTCAGAAACTCCTCACGACCCAGAATAATGTTCCCAGCCGCACTCTTCCCAGAACCACGCTGACCCAGCAGAACCAGCCTCAGCTCAGGCAGAGAAGAGTCCTCCAGACGATCAGGGCAGGAATAGGATGATACACCAGAGAGAGTTTCACTGCCATCCCAAGCCTCGTTGAAACTGTGATGGACTAGAAGAAGAAACATCAGTGCCAGCACACGCTCACAGTCTTCACAAACTGATTAGTGTCCTGTGGATTCTAGCTCCAACACACTCGCCTGGAGGTAATCCTGAAGACCTTGCTTAGCTGCCTCAGGTGTGTTTAGTTAGTGTCGGAGCTAAACTCTGCAGGACTGAGGCCCTCCAGGAACAGATTAGTGCGCAGTGTTTGAGCTCCTGCCATCAATCTGACTTGTTGAGGCTATGGTTAGTCTTAGTGCTTCCTAACCCTAAAATGATCAGATGATCAACTTTCACCTGCTGCACCATATAATCTAATATAATCCCACAGATGCACGCCGAGCCAGAAGATCACAGAGATGGCAGATAGGACAAATCATATAAACCTACTGGTGTTGCTGAAGCTCTGGCTGTTCTGGACCTCTGGCACCTCCATCATCTGCCTGAGAATAGCTCCCTCTAGAGTTACACACAAATATAACAGAATCAGTTCAAACAATGGGATTCATGTCAAACGCCACCTGACCAAACCGCAACACAGGTCTCGTTGCATACGCTATTAACAGCAGAACTAACTGCAAATTAATAAAGTCCTTGACTCTGATTGGCTGAGCCGCGTTCGAAGCTGTTGTAAATGACGCTACAAAGTAACACACACCTTTGTTTAGGTTTGTGTGTTGCTCGGCAACCACTTTGTAGCAACCACAACTGTTTCTGAGGAGCTACATTGTTTGGTGGAAGAACACTGTTTTTATTAATATCATTACACTTTATTTGCTCTGCTTTATTTTGTGAAACCTTACTACGTATATGCAATAACCGTTTTATAAAAGCAGTAATCCCCGTGAAGCCGTGATTTACAGTGAATTTATAACAGCTAACGTAACTAACAACGCCCCTTAGCTGTTATAAATTCACTGTAAAGCACGGCTTCACGGGGATTATTGCTTTAATCTGTGGATTTTTAAGGTTTATAGTCTTTGGTATCTTTTATGAGTAAAACAGCTCTATATATAACGAAGGAAGGTCTGAAGTGATGTGACCTGTTTCACAGAACACAGAGGTTTTTTGTGCATAACCCCAGTTGGCAGCAACACGTCTCTCAGCTTTAATATTTGCATGATTAGTTTGATTAGATCAGGCGTGTCCAGTCCTGCTCCTCGAGGGCAGATCAGATCCTGATCAGCTGGTTCAGGTGTGTTTAACTGGAGCTGCAGTGAACTCTGGCCTCCAGGAACAGGATTGGACACTTCTGGATCAGCTGAAGGACTTTCATGTGTTCGTTCAGTCATCCGGTTGGTTTCAGCACCTTTGTTGAGTGTGTGTCGGGAGTGTGCTTCCTCACACTCGCGCTGCTGCGACTGAAGCCCGTTGATCAGGCGTCTCTCAGTCATTACATCACTTCCTGTTTCTCCAAACGTATTGATTTGTGTTTGTTTTCCTGCGTTCCACACCGTGTGTCTGGTTGCACTGAGCTTCATCTCTGTTTTCTCCTGCTCCGGGACGTCTCTCTCGTGTGCTTCCAGGTGAAATCCTCCGTTCCTCTGGAGCATCTGCTCCACCTGAGACACAGGGAACTAGTTAAACATTAACCAAAATCCTGACAAATTCCTATAAGACTGCAAAAAACCCTTTTCTTGCTTAGTATGTTTGTCTTATTTTCTAGTATAAATATCTAAACATTCTTGAATCGAGATGCATTTAACTTGACAAGTAAAATTACTTCAGATATTAAGTAGTTTTTTTTTTTTTTTAAATGTTCAAAATTTTGTACGTATTTGCTTAAAACGAGCAAAAACATCTGCTAATAATGAGGTTAAGACAAGTAGACGTAATTGAAATCCAAAACAATATTATTTTTCTTGCCTCATTGTCAGATAATTTTGCTTATCATAATTTGTATGT